CAATTTCGGCCTCCAGAAAACTGTGAATATCCATAATCTTGCAGTAAAATCCGGCACTAGAAAGTATAACAATCACTTAAGACTGGACACCAACTCCTACACCAACATTATTTTGCAGTTCAAATAATTGGTATTTGTGTCAGGAAACTCCCACACCTCAACTCCTAGCACAACGGTTTGTGCTTAGCAACTAACATGTGGTCGACTCCCGGGAGGACGTTGTCCAGACCGACGAAGGGGCGTGGCATAAGTGACGCCTTTAACCCAACGGCCAATCACAGGCCTCAGAGCGCGCCGAGGGAGGAGCTTATTCGACGTCACTCCACATCCCGCTCATTTCAGTTTCCCGCGCTTTATTTCTCCACGCAGCCACTCCCCCTTTCTTCCAATCCTTTTTTCCCTCCCCCTTCTCTCTCTCTCTCTCTCTCTCTCTCTCTCTCTCTCTCTCTCTCTCTCTCTCTCTCTCTCTCTCTCTCTCTCTCTCTCTCTCTCTCTCTCTCTCTCTCTCTCTCTCTCTCTCTCTCTCTCTCTCTCTCTCTCTCTCTCTCTCTCTCTCTCCTCTCTCTCTCTCTCTCTCTCTCTCTCCCTCTCTCCCTCTCTCCTCTCCCCTCTCTCTCTCTCCCTCTCCCCTTCCTCCTTCCCCCTTCTTTCCTCCTCGCCCTGCTAAACCCGCGAGTGCTATAAAAACTTCATTTTTAAACACATCATAGTGGAAAACATGAAAGAATATGAATGAACACAAAATTTGGAACATAGTCACGTGATGGTTTCGTGGCGAAGAAAACAAGGGATACCTTATGTACTCTGGTATGTGAGAAAAAGAGTTATATGTTTTACAAGACTACAAGCTTCATGACAAGAGGGTATGTCGGTAGAATATTCATGAACAATTGGTAACTAGAGTATGTACAATGATAATGATTACAAGGTAGAATATTCGTGTACAATTGATAACCAGAGTATGTACAATAATAATGATTACAAGGTAGAATATTCCTGAACAATTGATAACCAGAGTATGTACAATAATAAGGATTACAAAGTAAAATATTCCTGAACAATTGATAACTAGAGTATGTAGAATGATAATGATTACAAGGTAGAATATTCCTGAACAATTGATAACCAGTGTATGAACAATAATAATGATTACAAAGTAGAATATTCCTGAACAATTGATAACCAGTGTATGTACAATAATAATGCTTACAGAAGCAGTGATACAGACAGTACATTTTCTGAGGAATTTTTTGAGTCTATACAAGATACGAGTTTCCATGTAGTTATAAAGTAGAGGGATTGACGTTAAGGGTCGGAATTGCTTGTCATGGAGCGCAGGACACGTTGGCGCCGGTGATAAACAGTAGAATATTTGTATATTGTTGGAGGCCTATGGTGAGGTTGAGGGCGACGTCGAGGTGTGAGGTCACTAAATACATTCTTCATACCCTCTCTTTGTCTACTCCCTTCTTTCCCTTTGTCTCTCTCTCATTCTCTTTTTTTTCTCTCTGTCTGTCTGTCTCTGTCTCTGTCTCTGTCTCTGTCTGTCTCTCTCCATCTATCTATCTATCTCTTTCTTCTCTCCACTTCCTTTCTTCCTTCTCCCTCCTTCATTCTCTCTCTGTCTACCCCTTCTCTCTCTCTCTCTCTCTCTCTCTCTCTCTCTCTCTCTCTCTCCTCTCTCTCTCTCTCTCTCTCTCTCTCTATCTCTCTCTCTCTCTTCTCTCTCCCTCCCTCCTTCCTTCTTCTCTCCTCCTTCATTCTCTCTCTGTCTACCCCCTTCTCTCTCTCTCTCTCTCTCTCTCTCTCTCTCTCTCTCTCTCTCTCTCTCTCTCTCTCTCTCTCTCTCTCTCTCTCTCTCTCTCTCTCTCTCTCCTCTCTCCTCTCTCTCCCTCCCTCCTTCTCTTCTCCTTTCCTCCCTCCTTCCTTTCCCTTTCCTCTTTTCCTTCCTCCTCCCTCCCTCTCTTCCCTCTCTTCCTCCCTCCCTCTCTCTCTCTCTCTACCCCCTTTCCCAGGCGCATTCCGAAGAAAGTGACCAAGGGACGACCTTTTAGCCGCGAGAACTCAACTCCAATACAGATCATTAACCCTTTGGTCCCCAGACGGTTACGTATGGTCAGTACGGTTGAAGGACCAGGTGGATGTGCATATCCTAATTCGGTTTCTCGGCTCTTACAGGATGCGAAGGATGTTAAATGCACCGCCAGAAGGATGTTAAATGCACCGCCAGAAGGATGTTAAATGCACCGCCAAAGGATGTTAAAATGCACCGCTAAGGATGTTAAATGCACCGCTAAGGATGTTAAAATGCACCGCTAAGGATGTTAAATGCACCGCTAAGGATGTAAATGCTAAGGATGTTAAATGCACCGCTAAGGATGTTAAATGCACCGCTAAGGATGTTAAATGCACCGCTAAGGATGTTAAATGCACCGCTAAGGATGTTAAAAGGATGTTAAATGCACCGCTAAGGATGTTAAATGCACCGCTAACTAAGGATGTTAAATGCACCGCTAAGGATTAAATGTTGTTAAATGCACCGCTAAGGATGTTAAATGCACCGCTAAGGATTTAAATGCACCAAGGATGTTAAATGCACCGCTAAGGATGTTAAATGCACCGCTAAGGATGTTAAATGCACCGCTAAGGATGTTAAATGCACCGCCAGAAGGATGTTAAATGCACGCTAAGGATGTTAAATGCACCGCTAAGGATGTTAAATGCACCGCTGTTAAATGCACGAAAGGATGTTAATGCACCGCTAAGGATGTTAAATGCACCGCTAAGGATGTTAAATGCACCGCTAAGGATGTTAAATGCACCGCTAAGGATGTTAAATGCACCGCTAAGGATGTTAAATGCACCGCTAAGGATGTTAAATGCACCGCCAGAAGGATGTTAAATGCACCGCCAGAAGGATGTTAAATGCATAAGGTTAAATGCACCGCTAAGGATGTTAAATGCACCGCTAAGGATGTTAAATGCACCGCTAAGGATGTTAAATGCACCGCCAGAAGGATGTTAAATGCACCGCTAAGGATGTTAAATGCACCGCTAAGGATGTTAAATGCACCGCTAAGGATGTTAAATGCACCGCTGTAAATGCAAAGGATGTTAAATGCACCGCTAAGGATGTTAAATGCACCGCCAGAAGGATGTTAAATGCACCGCTGTTAAATGCACCGCTAAGGATGTTAAATGCACCGCTAAGGATGTTAAATGCACCGCTAAGGATGTTAAATGCACCGCTGTTAAAGCACCGCTAAGGATGTTAAATGCACCGCTAAGGATGTTAAATGCACCGCTAAGGATGTTAAATGCATGTTAAATGCCGCTAAGGTTAAATGCACCGCTGTTAAATGCACCGCTAAGGATGTTAAATGCACCGCTAAGGATGTTAAATGCACCGCTAAGGATGTTAAATGCACCGCTAAGGATGTTAAATGCACCGCTAAGGATGTTAAATGCACCGCTATGTTAAATGCACCGCTAAGGATGTTAAATGCACCGCCAGAAGGATGTTAAATGCACCGCTAAGGATGTTAAATGCACCGCTAAGGATGTTAAAATGCACCGCTAAGGATGTTAAATGCACCGCTAAGGATGTTAAATGCACCGCTAAGGATGTTAAATGCACCGCTAAGGATGTTAATGCACCGCTAAGGATGTTAAATGCACCGCCAGAAGGATGTTAAATGCACCGCTAAGGATGTTAAATGTAAGGATGTTAAATGCACCGCTAAGGATGTTAAATGCACCGCCAGAAGGATGTTAAATGCACCGCTAAGGATGTTAAACCGCTAAGGATGTTAAATGCACCGCTAAGGATGTTAAATGCACCGCTAAGGATGTTAAATGCACCGCCAGAAGGATGTTAAATGCACCGCTAAGGATGTTAAATGCGCTAAGGATGTTAAATGCACCGCTAAGGATGTTAATGCACGCTAAGGATGTTAAATGCACCGCTAAGGATGTTAAGCACCGCTAAGGATGTTAAATGCACCGCCAGAAGGATGTTAAATGCACCGCTAAGGATGTTAAATGCACCGCTAAGGCTAAGGATGTTTAAATGCACCGCTAAGGATGTTAAATGCACCGCTAAGGATGTTAAATGCACCGCTAAGGATGTTAAATGCACCGCCAAAGGATGTTAAATGCACCGCTAAGGATGTTAAATGCACCGCTAAAGGATGTTAAATGCACCGCTAAGGATGTTAAATGCACCGCCAGAAGGATGTTAAATGCATAATGTTAAATGCCCGCTAAGGATGTTAAATGCACCGCTAAGGATGTTAAATGCACCGCTAAGGATGTTAAATGCATGTTAAATGCACCGCTAAGGATGTTAAATGCACCGCTAAGGATGTTAAATGCACCGCCTGTTAAATGCACCGCTAAGGATGTTAAATGCACCGCTGTTAAATGCACCGCTAAGGATGTTAAATGCACCGCTAAGGATGTTAAATGCATAAGGATGTTAAATGTTAAATGCACCGCTAAGGATGTTAAATGCAGCTAAGGATGTTAAATGCACCGCTAAGGATGTTAAATGCACCGCTAAGGATGTTAAATGTGTTAAATGCACCGCTAAGGATGTTAAATGCACCGCTAAGGATGTTAAATGCACCGCTGTTAAATGCACCGCTAAGGATGTTAAATGCACCGCCAGAAGGATGTTAAAATGCTAAGGATGTTAAATGCACCGCTAAGGATGTTAATGCACCGCCCACCGCGGATGTAAATGCACCGCTGTTAAATGCACCTGATTTAAATGCACCGCCAGAAGGATGTTAAATGCACCGCTAAGGATGTTAAATGCACCGCTAAGGATGTTAAATGCACCGCTAAGGATGTTAAATGCACCGCTAAGGATGTTAAATGCACCGCTGTTAAATGCACCGCTAAGGATGTTAAATGCACCGCTAAGGATGTTAAATGCACCGCTAAGGATGTTAAATGCACCGCTAAGGATGTTAAATGCACCGCCAAGGATGTTAAATGCACCGCCAGAAGGATGTTAAATGCACCGCTAAGGATGTTAAATGCACCGCTAAGGATGTTAAATGCACCGCTAAGGATGTTAAAATGCACCGCTAAGGATGTTAAATGCACCGCTTTAAATGCACCGCTAAGGATGTTAAATGCACCGCCAAAAGGATGTT